TATCGTATAACTCAACAACTTAAAAACGTGGGCGCATTATAAGAGGAGAAATAAGTTTATGTGAAATCAATACTTTTTGATAAACTTAAATTAATGCGCCCACGTTTTTAAGTTGTTGAGTTATACGATAAGATCAAAGTGCACTTATTCGAAACTTTGTGAACAATATTGACTAGGATATAAAAATTTATTAAATATAATCTGAAAATTTAAAACCAAATTCTTTACAACCAAGAATAAAAGTTATTTTCTACTTTTTAGTCTACGCGAAAAACGTAGTTTTTTAAAAAGTTTTTTTTACACGTCCTGTGGAAATTGTATTAACTTTAGCAAAGCCTAAGTATGAAAAAAATCAATTTAAAGAAAATTTTATAGCAAAATTATAGCATGGAATTACCCATAAAGGCATCATCAATATCATCTAAAAATCTGATCCAAAATCTACCTCAGATTATTTCAGGATAAATCGTATCAAATTCCAAAGCTGTTGAATGAACAAAAACCCTTTCCGATTGAATTGAAATTGGCCAATTTGAAATCTCTACAAGCTATAGCTGTTCAAATCAGGACAACAATTTTGATCGAATCCGAACATTTATTTTTCCACAACTTAGGTGCCATGACTGTTGTATGTATTAGTCGAACCGCAGCAGCCAGTTCAAAGCTAGTGATTTTTTGGAGGGGTTGAAAAATTGTTCATAAAATAAGCGAAACACACAAATTGTTGGTAATAGCGAATTTCCTTTTATGAAAACAAACATTTTCAGGGATCCGAGGCAACCCTTAAACCGACAAAAATGCGAATGTATACTAAAGTAGAATAGAAGGAAAGTTTATTATACATCGTATAATTGCATAATGAGGAATTAAAGGCAACAGAAAAGCGAACTAAACAGCAGTGCTATATATTTAATTATAATAGTAACTTTACGAGATCAATTAGTACTTTTTCATGATATACACACACAATAACTGACCCATTCATGAAAATTATTATCTATTTACCCTTTTTAAAGCATAATCCATAAGACAAAGGACACAAATGTCAACAGTTTGTCTGCTTGCTCATTAGTTTGTCACTTAACTGTTGAAAGTCAACCTAAAGCTTTATAAATACTTGTCATGTGATTTACTTATATTTGGGAGGTGACAGAGGACATATGAGTTGAATAATTAAGGTTGTAGTTTGAAAAGAGGGTGTTTGCTGGAACAAAAATTCAACTTATATTTTACCGTTATATTTTGAAATATTATTTGACAGTTATTATTCATACATTATTTGACAGTTGTTTTCAAATATTATTTGACAGTTATATTTTAAATACTTTGTAACCGTTATTTTTCAAACTGAACTTAATTGTAGTAAAGTGCGCCCAATTGAGCCTTTAATAACCACCATCTTTACCAATTGTTTGTGCCCAAATTGTTTACACAATAAAAATATTTCCGAAATGAAATTTTTTATTAATTGCATTCTTTCGTTCATTAAACCATGTTATTGACCATTTATTACTGGAGCTACACAAGACAAATAACACAAAATTATCTTTTATTGTACATTAAATTTATGTCCGATTGAATCCAATTTATGGCTTTGTGGATTTGTTGACAGATTTAACCATTGTTATTTTATTGATTTTTTTGTTCCGATTTCGATTACGTATTTTTTAGGAGGAACGAGTGGGCAGTGGGAATAGGGAATGAAAAATGTTCATTAATTGTACATAAAAATTTATATGTTTATATATATCTTCTTTATAGGTATATAGTATGTTTAAATACCATGGGATGATAAGAAGTTGTTATTTGCTGTTATAAAAAAAAATTTCAACTTTACCCAAAAATATCAAGGGTGCAATTTGCTCAGTTCCAAAATTACTTGGGCTTGGCTATTGTTTAATATGTTTTTCCTTCTGTGAATGTAAATTCATAAACATTTTAATTAAAAACAATTTTTTGACTTCAGACCACACGATAGTGACACATAATGGATGTCATAAAAATTCATGACTCTAAGCTTCAAAAATAGTTCTTTTAACTGCTTCTGCTGCTGTTGACAGAAAATATTTGAAAACCATCAAGATCATTTCCACTGCCATTATTGAAAATATATATTACCCCATTTCAGAAAGAAAAAGTTTGTTTTAATTAAATGGGTCCTCATCAACATTTCCTGAAAGAGTATGGCTGTTAACATAATATCCTTCATTTGTATGCTTGACTAAAATATTTTATAAAATTCTTTTTTTGAATTGTTAATTGAAAAAAATTATTTTGATCCAACAACATTTTTTAAATTTTATATATTTTCTGTAAAGCAAGCATTCAATAGCTTTAGAGTTTGGAAATATTTTTGAGCAATGCATTATTCTTTATATAAGCTATGAGGAGATTTTATTTTATAAAATAAATTTTTGCAGTAAATTGAAATTTGTTGAACTATTTTGTTTAAAGGAGCTTTTAGGACTGCAGTAAGGATTTTTTATAGGAAACTTCATATTTGCATTTTTTGACTACATTGGTATTTAAGAGGCAGTTTTGCAACTTACTTTTAGAAAACTTACTGCTGTGTTTTAAAAATCGTATTCCTTAAGAGCTATTGACGTTTAACGGTTTATTGAGTTTAAATTTTTTAAAGGAAAAAATAATTCGAATTTCTGAACGTACTCATTTTGTTTTGAGGCTAAAAGTAGTTTTTTCGAGTTGAAAATTAAGCGAATGGCCCTTAACAGAAAAGGAATTCTCTTTCATGTCTGGTTAAGGAGATCTCAGTCTCAACCAGCCAACCAAACAAAGTGCATTATTTCGGAGAGGACATTGAGGGAAAGGGTAGGGGTTGGTTACTAAAATTTCGGCTTCAGGAAACGACCAAAAACTATCAAAATTCAATTATTCAGCTCCACACGTTTCCTTGTTCTAAAAAATATGTGGCTAGGAAAAGTATTCTTAAACGTAAATTTTAAGCCTGCTTTTTAACAAACTAAAATCGAATCTTAAGTAAGGGCCCGTTCACTTATTACGTTACGCCAAAAACCGACTTTTTTCACACCCCCCCCCCCTTGATACAATATGTTACAACTCACAACCCCCCCTCCTGAACGTTCATAATTTATTTTATCAGACGACACTTAAAACGTTACATACTTCTTGACACCCCCCCCCCCAAATGTTACATATTGTTACAATTTTTCAAACCCCCCTCCCCCCTAAAATACGAACGTAATAAGTGAACGGCCCCTTAAATCTGTTGATGCTTAAATTTTATTCTATCATGTTGCTACCAATATTTTCAAAATAATGTAAATAATAACCCCACTCCTCGACATGATTTAAAACTTTTCAACATCTTTGAAAATTTGGTTTGAAGAAACTTTTGTTCAATAAATTTTTCATATCTTTAAAAAAAATTTTGACCCAAAAAAATTATCTTCAAAGTGTGAGTGTGTGTCTCCACAAGTAAATTTTTCATTTTAAATTTTATGAATAAAATAAAAGTTAATTGAAAAGTTTTAAAAACTTTATCAATTTTTCTTCATTTTTTGCTTTCCATAATTGCTAAAAGACAAACTTTCACGATTTTTTTTAAATTATTTTAATTCATTTACTAAACATCTTTAACAGCACTATAGTGAATAATTTTCGAAATGTTGGTTAACGAACGCTCGAGAAAATAATAAATAATTAAAAATGTGGTTTTTGGTTAATTGACCAAGTCGCGGGTAATTAAACTTTATATTCGAGGGTTATTGATTGCCATTTAATGAGATATTTGTGGACTCATCAAATTATAAATTTTTTGTAAATGATAAAAAAATTTGTAATTGAAATTTAATAAAAGAATTTAAGGTTAAAAACAGCAATTGCGAATCATAATAAAGGATAAACGACACTTTAGAGACATTTTATGCAGAACATAAATGTGCTCATATATAGAACGATAAAGCTAGAATTATGTAAATCAACAAGAACGCGATTTGAATGTGAAAAAGCTTAAAAAGTCAAATACGAACTTGAGGTCGTTCTTAGAAGGAATTAGTTGAATATTCGATGCTTGAAAATAAAGTAATTAAAGTTAAAAATTTCCATAGAATAAATTTCCTTTTTCTAATAATAAATTTCATTATTATTCAGCATGACATAGATTTTGTGTGCTGACGTAGGATTCGAAGGAATTGATTTTATCGTTGAATTTTGAATATAGCCAAGACACAGTCAAGACACAATCAAACATTTTTTGAATGAAAACATTGAAAGTTTTTCTTGAAAATAGACTTAATTACAATTAATTTCAAGTCCAGGATATGATTACGTGCTTTATACGTCTTTAAACTTGAAAAACAAATCATTGTTTCATCCTTTAAATCTTTAATTATGTCATTAAATACAAAAATTGAAGACAAAAGTTCAAAAATTTATGTGTTTCGAAAATTCAAATTTAAAGCTTAACGGTTTTTGAAACTAAAGTTCGAACAATTCAAAACATAGCCACCAGCATAAGCATAATCTACAAGAACGTTTCCAACGAAATATATAAAAATTTACATTTGAAAGAATACAAAATGTTTAATGTCGTCATTTGAGAGCTACGATCAAAAAATTGGATATGGCTTTCTCTTGGATCACGTACTAACCCCCATGCCTTATTGAATGTTTCCTCATTCGTAGCAGCAAAAATTTCTAAATCCCCAAAAAATCAATTATGATCTTGAAACATACAGCAGTCAGTGGTGAATATTCTAATAGTTGTGGTGAGAATTTCACTCCAAAAGCCAAACCAAAAGATTTTTTATCGGAAAATATTTGAACATAATTTAATTTTATGGATTTTTTTTTCTCTGGTTAATGTTTATGTGCAGAGCTGAGAGGATGGAAATTTTAATGGCATGGAATAACCACTCTTTTTAACAATTTTCTATTAGCAAAGCAAATCATTTATTTTCATTCAAGAAAACTCATCACCATTAATCTTATCACAAATTCTCTTTTGTTTCTCTTTACAGAATACTTACTTGGTAGCATAAAGCACATAGATATGACCTACACATTCATTCAAAATGTGGATGATGAAACTTTTCAAGGACTGCGATTAGAGTCACTTAAATTAGTTAATAACAAATTATTCGATTTGTCAGAAAGAAGTTTAAGGTAATTATGAATATTTTTATGTTATCGGAAGTTCCTTTAAATGCCGAATGTTTCCACTTCCAATGGCCTAGCGAGCAAAAGTGTTGGATTGACTCAAGGACACAAATCACACAGGTTCTTATCGACCATTCAAATCGTAATTAGAACCTGTGGAGAAAATATAAGTCATGATGAACCTCTAGAAGTCAGAGTCTCGCCATCAATCATACCAAGTGTTCGTGAAGACTTGACTTGAAGACTGTTTTTTCCAGCAGTAGTGAAAATTGATTTTTTTTTTCTTCCTCTTTTGTTGGAGTAGGGATTGTTGAATATTGTTGCTAATGTTGTGGTTATTTGAACTTTTTGGTTGAAAGTGAACAGGTGTAGCTACTTTTGGAGTTTAATCTATTCCTCCTTCATCCTTCTTCCTTTGATTAAGTTTCAAAACTTTCAGTCCATCGAAATAACAAACGTCAAAAGTAAATTACCAAAGAAGTTTCTAATTGAAGTAAAAGCTACTCAAGCTTAAAAGTCATATCCTTTGGTTTCAACATTGATGAACGACTAAGTCATGAAACAACAGAATTAAAAAGATTTCAAACCATCTGGATTGAAAGTGTGTCACATAAATATTCTTAAAGTGCATTATGTTCTAATGTGCTTGCTATAAATATTTGATAATGCTTTACACATGAATTTCTTGAGTAGGTTGCGGTTTTTTTTCCTTCTAAGAATGCGGAGGTGTTTAGTGTCTTGCAAAAGGTATTCCCAAGAGAGTCTTAAATGATCTTGGCTTGATATTAGCTTCATGTAGAATCTTCACGAAATCAGGATTCATGCAAGGGTGCAGAATTTTACTAAGTTTTGTTTATTTTGACTATTTCCACCTTCTGAGTTTCATGCTGAAGTAGGATATAGAACTGTGATTAGATCTGCAAATCCGATCCAACAAAGAGTATACTCACTTCAGTGAGCTAGTTCATATCGAATCTTTGTCAATTCGGATAACGTGTCATCAATCCATTTTTCTTCGACAACATCAGTTCTCAATTGACACAAAAGGATGTCAATTTACAACAGCTATATTAAATTCATATCGATTCTGTAACGTTGTATATCTTCAATAAAATCAGAAATCAAGATACACTCCATCCAAAAAGTGAGATCTTAAACTTTAACAAAACCTTAAAGTCTCTTTCACAACCACTTCAACTACAGCATTTACTTATTTTACACGCAAGAATAAAGACAAACTGATTGTAATAAGTGAAAAGTTTACATTTAAATAGAAAAAATTTAAAACTGTCAGTATAGAACAAACTTCCTCATAAACAGCAAAAACTTTATGTTCACCTAAAAAGAGTAAATTGTATGAAATTTCTGCTTATCATGTCAACGAATTCAATTCCCAGTTTCCATAACTTTATGATGATACCTGTGTAAAATTAATAAAATAAGAATTTCCATGAGGAAGGACGAGTACATGTCATAAAAAAGAATTTCTACATTATCACGCTTCAGCTATTACAAATCTTTCTCCATTCATGATCTATGTGAAAAACTTCGTTTTTGTGCCAAAAAAGAAGAAACTACCTGTGAATGTGTGCCTGCCTGATTTTTATTAAAGCCTCTCCCCTGTTAAAATATTTCATTGATAACAGCATTTCGTTAACTCGAACGTAGATGTACAATTGTATATCTTTCATTTGTCGAGCACAATATGTGATTCTCGAGAAAATAGCTAGTTAGGTATGAAAGAGGCAAAAGAAAGCAAGAATGAGAAGAGAAAAAAAACCGAGATGAGTGTTTAAACATTAAACATCATCACATACAATCTGTTTAGCTGAGTTATCTTGCTGACAATCTCCGTAGAAATACGTTTAAATATTTACTTAAGCAATCCTGTGTAGCCCAATAGTCACATTCAGTCGCATTGTCGCATGTAGAAATATGTGTTGAAGATAAAAACACGTACGAGACTAGAAAAAGTAAAAGGCACATAGAGAATCAAAAAAAAAAGGATTCGAAAAAAATATTTCTGCTGATTTAGGAGAATTTCTCTCATTCTATATTGACTTTTCGATAGAAATATTTTGATTGCTAGATGCTAAGTCTTGATAAATCTATGAACACACATATACATTCCAAGAAGATGCTCGCTCGTTAGCCTTAATCCCTTCCTTCCCCTTGCCTCTATCACATTCAAAAAAAAATGTATAACACATCAAAAGCATATGAATTAAATTAATTAATTAATTAACATTTCTTTTTTGACATTCTCATTTGCAGCTTTATGGCTCATTCACTAATATCATTAGATATATCAGGAAATCTTTTTCAATCAGTTCCATTAGAATCAATAAAATCAATTCACACTCTAAGTAGACTGATAGCACAAAGGTAAGTTTGCAAACAATCTATACTACAAGTAAGTCATAACTTCCTTCATATATGTACTTATCGTAATTTAATTAAGTTTATTTTCAACTTTTACTTCAAAAATTTCTTTCTACTTCTTCTTTTAACACAGCTTTTGAGATTAAGTTTAAAGGATGAAGTGAGAGTTATTCTGTCTGTCTGATCTTGTATCTAGTCAATAGTGTGGAACTGATAAATCATGTTTTTGGTAATTTTTGATAATATTGATCAGTTTCACACCCTCGGTTTAACTAGTCAATTGAATAAATGTAGTTTTATAATAAAAGGGGTGTGAAACTACGCAATAATGAATTTAAATAAACAGTAATGTTTTCAAACTAGCTCAGTTGTCGAAGATAAAGCTTATTGGAGAATAACAAGGGAATTTTTATTACTAAGGGGGTTTGAAACTACGCAATAATGTATTTAAATAAGTAGTATTATTCTCAATATAGCTCAGATATAGATTTTCAACCTTGCTGCAGTATGGCTAGGGGATAAACATGGAACCTATGCAGTTTTAAATTCAAAGGGGTATTAAACTACGCCAAAACTTTTTAACATGAATATTCTAGAACAAAACAGTGATATTTTTATATAAAGTGCGCTTTTTTGACGCATCAATGAAAACATTTTTGATTGAAACTGAAATGATAAGTAAAGTAATTTTTTTCTTCTTTCTACTTATGCTCTATACTTATTATATGTATATGTGGATATGAAAAGTTTTTGTAAGAAAGAAGGAAAAGTTTCCCTTTACATTCTATTTATCTATCTATCTTTTTTTTCTGTAAAAGAGAATCTTCTTGTAAAAAGAAACTATCAAGAGAAACTAGCGTGAAGTGCTCTTGAATTAAGTTTCGATGGCGCATCTTCTTTTGATAGGTACTTGACTAAATAACAGATATTGAACTTCTGATTTAACAAAGAGAATAATCTAAAAAGAAGTTTTGTAAGGGAAAGAGGTTCTTCTGGTATTTATTTGCTCTTTTTGTTATTTGATGCTTATACGAATAAGAAATTGTCCATTTGTAAATGATTCTATAAATTCTCACACAAAAGCTATGTAATGAAAGTGTAGAATCATTGTTGATCCGAAGAACAAGATGTACAATTATTTACTATTACTCACACTAAATGGTTGACCAAAATTACGGTCAAAAACTGTTGTTTAGCAAATATTGGACAGAAATGGAGATGATTTACAACTAAATGATACGTGTAGCATGAGACAGATAGTGATGCTTTAATTTATGGGTTGTTGATGGATGTTAAACATTCAAAATAACAATTTTTGTTATTTTGCTTGTTTTGCGTTCAAAATTTTATCCGGAAAATGTAAACAATGATTTTTGGCTATGAAATGGCATCTTATAATGCAATTAAAGCTTTTTTGCCATGTTTTTCAATTAGTTTGAATAGTTTTTATAAATTTTAAACATAAATTAAGCTAGAAAAATGAAAAATAAAACTTTAGCTGGTAGAAATCTTCAAAAATCGCAGGATTTTTTTTTCCTTTAAAATCTGAATGTTTCTTGATTCCAACAATAATTCCAATTCAAAAATCACGTAGTTCGTAAGCTTGCAGTCATTCATCATACCTGAATATGAAAAATGTCGGACGACAATCTCAAAATGCCAACATTTTTGCATTTACTGATGTCAAAAGTTACTCAAAAATGTTAGCCTTTGCCTTTAACTGACTACGACAGTGCAGCAGATCTCTTAATACCAAAAGCCATCCTCAGCCTTTTCATTCAAATCGAGTTCATGGCCATAAATCGCGTTTAAAAAAATCATTTGCTGAAAAGTTCATCGTCCTAAGCTTCAAGCTCATGAAAATTTCAAATTTTTTCGCGGAATAAATATAAAATTTTAGATTTTCATTAGGCTTCAATCCTCTAATTAAAATATTAATGAACGTACGCTCATAATATTCATGAGACATGCCAGCTAAAATAAGCTTTATTATTCCATGCTATCTAAATTCCCCTTTACCTTAATGCCTGTTATGAATCGATTCATCGATTTTTGTTTAAAATATTCCTCATTCCAAAATAAATTTGTGCCTAATTTATAAGACAAACAGGCAGTCAACAAAAACAGAGCTAAAGTGTAGATAATTGAACATACTTTTCTCGAAAATGGAGAAAAAGGTTGGGGATGGGAAATGAGATCAGAGCTCTTTACTGCTTTAAATGTATGTTTTTATATAAAATAGAAAGAAATGATAAATCAACAATCAAGATAAATAATAAGTTACGTCTCATTCTTCATAATTTTTTTTCTACAATACTTTAGGGCATAGATTCCAGAATAGAAAGTTTCCTTATTTATTCCCATAAAGCTTATACATATAAAGAATGGAATTAGTGATAAAAATTTGTTTACTTCTTCATCTTTTAATTAATTTTTCATTGTGAAAGTTGTGCCTGAAAAGAAGAAGAGAAGAAAGTTCGAAGTGCAAAAAAATGAAATTTTCAATGAACTTTTTTTCCTTATTCATGAGTTTGTGTTATAGTTTTGCAATTTTCTCATTGTTTATGATTCACATTAATTATATATTCGAATAAACTATGAGGAAAAAAGTAATTTATTAGTATAAATTTTTCTTACTCTCGCCTTGAATCTTTTTACAATCGAGTTTGTATGATAAAAATCTTTGAAAATTTTAAATAATTTAATAAATTTCTGCTGCGTGCTGTTTAGTTTTTGTTTTCGAAAATCTGTTGTTCTAGCTTTCGAAATGTAAACACAAAAGTTTTTGATGAAGTTTTTCAAAAATTCTTCATTTAAAGCTTGCGAATCTCAGATTTCAATTAATTCAACTGAATTCTGCTAAGTTTTTCGATAAATTGTTGTCATTGAATCAAACTTTACACTTAAATTAAGATTAAAATCTCTAAAACAAATTTTCTAGTGAAAAATTCAAAAATGGCGCGAAACATTTCATGTTCAAAAGTTAACGGTTTTTAAATTCATTCCAAACAGCAGCTAATTATCACACAATAAAGAAAGAAACTTTGTTTTATTATTAACATAAATAAATTAAAGGCGGATGAAGCAAGAGTGTAGGTGAAAGCATCCATGCCTACAAAACTGTAGAAAACTTTGTAATTTCTACGTCATGTTCTGTTTATATCAAGTAAACATTTTATCACAACATAAGATGAATGCATAACAATATTTACCATCATTACGTGTCAAAGATGTGTCATGCATTTCTCTTTTCCTTTCCATTACTTGTGCAGTCACACATTTTTCGCATAAAAAATTCTTTATTAGCAATGTTTAGACACTTATTTACATGTTTGTGCTCCATTATTGGATGACCCGGAAATAATGGAAGAATATTTTTGTGATGAATGAAGTAAATTTTTTTGAGGTTATGTAATTTTTGGGGTTGTTTTATGGTGGTTGCTTTTGTGTAAAACTTTATTTATGGAATATGATTTTTCTTGTAAGCACTGATACAATTCTTGTGAAATATAGGAACATAACCAAGAATTTTTTGAGGTTATCATTTTTCATTTTTGAGGTTAAATTTTTAACTTTATTTATTTAAAACTCAAAACTCGGTCAAAATCATTAAAAACACAACAATGGAATGATTTTGTTGCAGTTTGAAAGTTTGAGGTTATTTTTTTAAAAAATCATTATTTTAAGGTTATGTTGCATTAACTGCATAATATTTATCGACAACTATGCAAATTCAACCATATGAAGGAAGTCTCATCTCTTATAACTTTTTAATATATCCGCAAAACTTATCACATTTTTCTCTTCTTTTCATATTTCTCGTGTCATTCCAAACAGAAACCATATACAGCATCTTGACGCGAATTGGGGCAATTTAGCAGATTCCTTAAGAAGTTTACACCTCGCAGAGAATTCAATAAGTGATATAAGCTTCAATCACGATGACAGACGACATAATATATCAACATCAGCTTTATCATCAACACCATTACTAATACAAGCACATCATTCAATAAATGAGCAGGCATTAAATAAACAGCAATCAATTAAGACTTTCTCAAAATTACGAAAACTTGTGTGGTTAGATCTAAGTTCAAATCGTATTCAGCATATTGGTCCGAGTACACTTCCAAAGAGTATTGTGACATTAGATTTATCAAAAAACTTAATAACATCAATATCGACAGCTCTTCAAGAGCATCTTCATGATTTAAGGATATTATATTTACGTGATAATTTACTCCAAAAAATCAATGACGTGAGATTTCAAGGATTGCGGTCGCATCTCGAAAAAGTGGATTTGAGTCAAAACTGTATAGATGAACTTCCCCGTCATTTATTCAATCGGTCGACACATGTTAAAGCGATAAATTTTGATCGTAACATCATAACATTTGTGCCAGATAATGCATTTAGTGACATGAACATATTGCATCTAGTATTATCGTTCAACTATATTGCTGAAATTCATGCAAATGCATTCATGACACTCGAAAATAGTCTCGAGTATCTTGATCTAGAGAGAAATTTCCTCAAGACCATCCCAACGGCTATTTATAGTCTGAATAAATTACGTTACCTGTATCTTACTTCCAATATGATAAGTTCAATTGAGTCATTGCCAGCATCATTAAAAGTTTTATCATTAAGTAGTAATAATTTTTATCACATACCAAATGAAGTTCTTATTAATTGTACAGAATTATCATATTTAAATATGGGATATAATCGTATAACGTCCATAAAGCCCTCAACATTCGATGGATGGGGTGGTGAGGTACAGACGCTTTTATTACGAAATAATAAAATAGGAGATTTGAAATATGGAGCATTTTCGGGTTTGGATTCGATAAAGGAAATAAGTATGAGCTTTAACGACATTCATTATGTTCATCCACTAGTTTTTGAGAATGTATCAAGGACATTGAAGATACTGGAGCTATCATTTAGTATTTACAGTGAGGATTATCCACAGGAAGCCATAAGTTTATGTACTGAACTTATGTGGTTGGGTTTGGACAACAACAATCTAAAAATAATACCCGACAATTCATTATCCACTCTATACGAGCTGACATACATCAACCTATCCTTTAATCGACTAACATTGATCCCCGTACGTCTTTTTATGGCCGACATTCATCGAAATTTATTGGAAATCGACTTATCGTACAATGCGATTGAGAAAATAACATCACATACATTTAGTGGCTTGGAACTGCTACAATTAATCAATTTATCGTCAAACAAGATCAAATGTATTGAGCGCTTTTCTTTCCATAATCTCCCATATCTTACATACATCGACTTGACACACAATCAATTGAGGAATTTGAGTGAAAGTATTTTCGAATTTTTGCCAAATTTACTAAGCATCGATCTTATGTTTAATAATCTCGTCACGTTCTCATTAAGATGCTTTAAACATGTTTCAAATTCCACAACACCGATGTCTATCAACATCAGTAACAATGGCATCAATCATTTTGATGGCGAATTAAGTACATATCTTTACATTTATACGCTTGATGCGAGTAACAATCAATTATCAGACTCGCAGGCGTTTAAAAATATTGGATATTCCTTGCGCATCCTCTATCTTAATGGTAATAATTTGAGTACATTGGGCAATCACGCTTTTGGAGATTTACCATTATTGGAAGTGCTTAATGTGGCACATAATAATATAACAACGCTAAGACGTCGAAGTTTTCAAGGATTATCGAATCTACAGGAGCTTGATTTAAGTTATAATCATATTGAATTGCTACAAGTAGAACAATTTTCCAATCTTTTACGCTTAAGATACTTGAGACTGAATGGTAATCGCCTTAAAGGATTGCCACGTGATGTATTTCAAAATACTCGAATTGAATTTCTTGATTTGTCGCACAATTTCCTCTCTGTATGGCCAGTCCTGTCTTTCTCTGACATTGGATTTACTCTACGCTGTGTGCACATTAATTTTAATTTAATAGAATATCTCGACTCGACAATGTACATGAATACACAATATATGACTGAACTGCACTTATCTAATAATCAGCTCAAGGTGCTACCTGATAACACATTCTCAATTCTACATAATTTAACGTCATTAGATTTAAGTTATAATCCACTCATTACAACAAACTTTAAGGAATTACTGCTAAACATCCCACAACTAAGATTCCTCAATCTTAAATCCACGGGATTGTTTACCATTCCAATGCTGTATTTAAATCATTTGATAGAACTAGATATAAGTAAAAATCAAATACATGACATTGATTCATTAGTGGATATGAAATATTTAAGTAAATTAATCATATCGGATAATAAAATTTACAACATCACAACCCTCACAAGAAACTTGCCACCAACGATTCGCTTCCTCGACATCTCGAGAAATCCAATTAGGAAAATATCATCTCACGACTTCACATCAATTAGACGTCTCGAGCATTTAGTAATCGAGGATATAAAAATCTCAAATTCAGATGCTTTCATCAAATTACACAATCTTAAGACATTAAGGATCAGCTCGCAACATAATTTTAGTGAAATTATATCAAAATTGAGGGGATTGCGTGAAATTTATTTGACAATTTACGAGCATCGATTTGATGATAAATATTTCGGCAAATTGTTGCCAAATACCAAACTTAATGTGATCGAAATTAGTGGACACAAACTGAAATCGATATCACCTAATGCATTTCATGGCCTCGTGCGCAATGTCAATTTAAAAATTCGCATACACAAAACGATGATTAGTGATTTGCCAGCAAATTTATTCTATGCTCTACGCCACATACCGAAATTGTCAATTGATCTAATTGATAATAAATTGTCGCGGTTCATGGGCGATGTGTTCTATCCGAATGCAAGTGCATGGGATGCTGTGGGTACAAAGAGTATTATTGGTGGCATAAATACTGGCAATAGAAATGCGCTCATTTGTGATTGTGATCATGTTTGGTATGGTCATTGGCTACGACGATGGCTTCGAGAATCAGCACAGGTCAATGTCGTATCAAAGGATGAAGCAAAAAAGATGTTGAAGGTATGAAAAAACTTTTTTTTTATTATTGTGTTTTACTGTTTCTTGTTTGTTGTTAGAGATATAGCCAGAGATATACGAAAGCCATGGCTAATTCACTCTGTTTTTTTTTTTACTTTAATTTTTTATGTCTCGAGACAAGGGTGGTGAACCGAGCTTAGTACTGCGGCATTTATTATGTTGATGGCAGTCAAAAAAGCTTTGATTAAGCATATTATACATTCACATGACTGCCATTGCCATTAGATGACAATATTTTGATAAATGGGTTATTTACTTAGATGAATCTGGTCTGCTGAGCCAGTTCCTAGTCGCAGGAATTTTTTAAAATATCCCAAAAAGAGAATCCTATCGGTTTTTGATTCTATGGGAGTCTAAAGCAATGTTTCTTAAACTTTTTTGGTCCACGGCACATTTTTTGAATTAGAATTTTTCGTGGCACTAGTTTGCCGCGGCACCAATTGAAAAATCACTGGTCTAAAGCTACCTCAGATAGCCTTACAAACAAAATATGTGTACCTATTTCCTAAATCGATTAAATTTTGAGTGTACCATGGACAAGTTTAAATATGGACTAAGATAAATGCTAGAATGCATCTAGGTTATATTTGAGAACCTAACCTTAAGAGCTTATCATGATGAGAGCAAGTAGATCACTGTTTTGGATCTAGATGTGATATTAATCATTATTTAACATCAAAATGAAAACCAGACCTAATTTTTGATTAGATTTGTTGCCAAAAAATCACATTCACAACGAAGATTGACATCATGCACGAACGACCCCTTAAAAAATCTAAATGTAAAGCCAGTACACCACCCTTGAGTACCAAACAAAAACCAAAAAAATATAAAACTAACCAAATCCTCTTTTTTACTCTCTTTTTTCCTCACCGTATGTATTTATTATGCTTCCTCCTCTGTCGGCTGGATTATATGTTTACACAACAAAAAAAAAATTGTTATAAAAATAAAATCAACATCCACAGCGAGCTAGAGAGAGTACGTGTATAGAAGCAACGAGCGGAAAACGAATGCCATTTTTAGAAGTTTTTCCGGAAGATCTCCTATGTCATGCATCAGCACTAAGTAGTTTAGCTATAACATTAAGATTAAAATATTTCATTTTGCATTTCAGTGCAATCACAATATTGATTTGTAAAACCTTTTTTGTGCACATGTAAAATATGAAAATGGAAATTTATGATGACAACCTTTTTTTTTTGGTTATTTCTAGTGAATTATTAGTGTAACATTTTTAGGCAAGGGACATAGTAAATAATAATAAAAACGAAATAATAATTATGATAATTTCTCTGTGATAAAAAATGAAATATTTTACTTTTTTTTCCTTCCTGTTGCAAAAAAAAATATAAATTACAATCAACAAGGGGCGTCAACTATGCAAAAAAAAAATTGAATAAAATATGCTGACAAAAATGTGTAAAATATGTACAATCTAAAATTGAAAATATTCTCAAATTGATTTATGGGAAATTTTATCGATGGAAGCTTTTATTTTTACTGAATTGCGGATATTTGATAATTTGGATGTGAAAATGAATTGTTGTCCTGCTGACACTGGTGTTTTTAAATTGTTTTTATTTTATGCCACTATTAAGGTTAGAAGCTGAAATTTTTTGATTATTTTATTGGTTATTCCTGTAGTGAGCTTCTCAACAGGATACTTCTGGACTTTAATTTTATGATGATTTAGGTTGAATTTGGTTCAAACTTTGCTAAGGACACGTCGAAAAACCGTTAATTTTGATTTGAATTTCAAAAAAACTTAAATTTTAAAAATTTCAATGAATCTTTATGGCAAAGACAAGGTTTGGGCAAACGATTCTTATTCTTTATTTCTTATTTATATAAAAATCATCCAAGAAAATTAATAGAAGTCAAATTTTAATGTTAAAAATCCTAAAGCCGACACATTTTTAACGGTTTTCGAACATGTCGACTTTTTTTGACACTGAAATGCCCGAAGCATGGTTTAATGTGGCAACATCATTGGAAAGAAGGTTATATAAACTTTCATACCTCTCCTACCATTGCAGACACTACTTCCCGAATTTCTTAGCTTAAATCTAGTTAAATTGTTAAATCAAAAATCTAGCAAAATTTCCAAAAAACAAATTAAATTAAGAGTTTTCATTCACGAGTTCATTATGTTGATAAAAACACTTCTGTCGACAAAAATTTCCCACAAAAGACACCCCTTGATAACGAATTGGTAAATTACTCTTTAGTGAATTGATAATCTCTCTCTCCTTTTAATTCACTCTCGAAGAAGTTATTCAAATTAAGCTTGGTTCATTGCACATAACATAATGTATTCACATTTATCATATTAAAATACCAGCAAACCAAACAAAAAAAAAACGAATGAAGAGTAAATTATCATAAATTCCAGCAGGCAGGCATCATAAATAATTCATTTCTGTAAGATAATGATAGTAAAAAAATTACTAATTGTTGATAGTGTTATTAAGTCCTTTTAGCATCCAAAAAAAAGAAGGTTTAATATAGCAAAAAAAATTTGAATTTGTAGCATAAAAAAATAAAAATTTTATTCATTAGAGACACAAAGGAAGACGAACTTGAAGGATATGAAAGCAAAGAAAATAGAAAAATTAACGATGAACTCAAATTTTTTCATTTTTCAATGTTAAAAATTTATTGAAAATTTTTATGCTTGTTATTTGGAGTTTTCAAACTAAAGGTCTAGGAAATGGATTGAATAAATTATTTAAATTTCAGCAAAGTTTAAATATAATTTTCTTTGAAAAGTTTTTCGAAAATTCAATATCAATTTGAAAAATTTTATAAGTTAAGATTTGAATTTTTTAAACTGTTAAAAATATTTGAATTTTTAACGGTTAAAAAATGTTTAAATCTTTAATGTTTAACAATTATTTAAATTTTCTACAGGCAGAAATTTTAAAATTTTTAACAATAAATACTAAAGTTTTTGAACTAAACTTGATTTTTCAACATTTATGAATTTTTTTAAAACAACAAAAGTGAAATTTCTGAAAACTTTAATTATATTCAATTGAAATTTCAATTTTTAATTGGAACTAATTAACATCAATATTTATTTTTGTGTGACAATTGAGTTATTATTAACCACTTGATTGGTATTATTAAAATAATTGGAATTGAAACTTAATTTGACTTTAATAATATTCAATTTTTCAACTAAAACACGTGCTCGATTAATAAATTGACAAAATTAATTTCAATTTGAATTCAAAATTTCTCAGAATCTCAACTCCAACCCTCTTAATTAAAAATGAGCTTTATTTTAACCTCGACTTTTATTTTATAAAATAATTTAAACGAGCAATTCTCTGATGCTTTTAAAAAATTCCATACCCAAGGCATCATCTTTAAAAAAATATAATCCGCTGCTTTCATGCGCAATTAATTTCAATGACTTTTATTACCTTCATTCCTCAGAAGACAAAAATAAATTTCGGTCAATTAAAAATGTAAAAAAAAATTAAGTTGATGTTAGGCGTAGGTATTATTTAAAGTAATTCCTACTAATACCTAATAAATTGGTCTCTTGTTAACTTACCTTCAGGATGAAAAATATGTTTGCTATTCCCCGATTGTGTTGAAAAAATCTACAATAATAAAAACAAGAATTGAGAAAAAAATGAAAACCGACAAGCAGGGGTGTAGTCAGATCAGCTGTGTAGCTAGAAAATTTTCAATAATTTTATTTTATTTGAAAAATAAATTTAAGGGGGGGAGGAGGCTGGATTTGTATTTTTCTCTCAAAAACGCCGTCTTAATTTTGGACACAATTGCTCCCTTTTTCTCCTTGCTATGAACAGTTAGATATTCTCAAAGGAGGTGGAGGGAGGGGGGGGGGGTCCGACATTTGTTTTTTAAATTTCAATGCTTTTCATTTTTTTCTGAATTTTCTGGAATTTAAATCTTGAGGAAGTGAGTCCTTCATTAGACCCCCCGCACCCCTCCCCCTCTTTCACTAGCTTCACCCATACCAACATGAAATGTTGGCAAATAGGTAAAACTTTAATAAAATAACAACAACATCAAACAAATGAGCGTAATTGAGTTGAAAATAAAGGAAATTTTAAATCATTTATCCTAGGATACGGACAATTTCACGTTTGCTCTATAAATGATTAAATTTATTCTTGTCTAATGAAAATGCTGTACTAATGACAACCTATTGATAACTTAAATGGTATGACTTTAATTTTAAAAAAATTAAATGTGACAAATTATTTCTGAGATTTAACAATCTGAGTTGAGAGTGTTCAATTAATCGTATTTGTTAAGGTTTCTATGGATATCCATTGTGAGAACTTAATTAATAAAAGTTTATTTAAGATAATCAGGGCCGTTGAGTTTGTGTGTGGAAGCAAAAATTTAAGGGGGGGGGGGGGGGGGTGTAGAGCAAAAAAGAATTTTTTTTCAAATAGAGGGGGTTGGTTAACCCCAAACTCTCTTTAATGAAACTTAATGAATTATAGTTTTGGGGACATCCGAAATTAACGGCCATTTTTAAAAAAAGAACAATGGATTTCCAGGAATTTCTATTGTTCTTTTCTCGCTGAACTTCCCCCCCCCCCCCCCCCATTGAATATGTTGATGATTATTAATTATTGAGCATTTTTTAAAAAGTTGAAAATTATATTTTATGTAAAGTTTGAAAATTTATTATTTTGTGATTAAAAACTTTTAAAATTTTTTTTTTATTTTAAAGTATTTAAAAAAAAATAAATTGTTAAAATTCAAACAATTTCAAATGCTTTCCATAGCAATAAAATTTAACATTCAAGAATGAAAATTCAAAATTCAACAATAGACAAAACCCCTTTAATCCTTCCATTGTTTTCACCCAACATCAGCTTTAAAGAAAATCAATACTAGAATTGTTTTTAAAATATTTCAAAACCCTCAATCAGCATCTCCACATTTGAAGCTAATAAGGGTATTTTTCTGTTCGGTACTCTAACCATTACCGTTGGGATAACTTTTCTGTAGAATTTCATCGAGAAACCTCCTTATCTGACTTCATTTCAAAAAAAAAAAAAAAATCATTGAGTGTGTGTCGATAGCAAAAATCTCATTTTCTGTTTATTTTGCAGCATAAGGTAGATGCTTGCTGTTCATGATACTGACATGAACTCAAAAAAAAGTCCAATTTCTGTTCAAGACATTCATATCAATTAAGTAATCATGCACTTTTGAAAGGAATAAGTTAATTTTTGTGATATAATAAAGGAATCTATTGTAACTTTTGTAAATAGATAATCAAATTGATGGAAATGAAATCAAATAATAATAATAAAAAAAAATTATTAAAGTTAAGAATGTTCACTTTAGGGAATTTTTTTAAAGGCACCATAATAAAGAAAAATGAAAAATGAAGAAAAAGGAAAAATAAAAAAAAAAGATGAAGATTTTGAAAATAAAATAAGTTGAATTTAATTTGATTGTTGTTTTGCTTTCAGAATACAATGGGTTGTGCATAGGATGGAAAAATGTTAATTTTTTTTTCTTCTTCAGAATTGAATAAATTTTGGATGGTGTTGTGTACTTTCATCAAGCATTTTATATCTCAATGTGAAAATTTCATAAGGTTGGGTATCTAAATGGGAAGATTTTGGCAGGAAGATTGTTTTTATAATTTATTACTTCAATGTTTTTAATGATCGCGTGAATTTTTAGAGATGAAGATGAAGAATTAAAACTAATTTAAAATCAGGAAATGATTCATATGCCCAATCAATTTGAAAAGGGGGGGGGGGGTTATTTTTTGGATGTTTTGATAAAAATCCTAGCAAAATGAAGGAATTTCTGTTGACGGAAGAGGATTTGTCACCCTCTGGCTACGATAGATAGCTACAACTAGATATGCCAATAATAGGAGCGACTGTGGAGCTGAACAATGAACAAAAATTATAATTTCGAAATCTTTCTCAACTCTTCACAGTTTCATAACTGAAGTCATTATTGGGCATTTGGACAACGTTGGATAATGGAACGGGTTAGGAACTTAAAGTGTAGCGGAAAAAATAGGAACGAGAGCTACAAGATTACCCACGAATGAAATATTGTTATAACGGACCTGAAAAGTATCACGTCACGCCCACAGATGATCAAAACGAGAGCATTGATTTATTTGAAAACTAGTTTTAAAGATTGGATGCTTGATTGAAATCTGTCATCAAGCCGGTGTGATTCTGGAATAATGCTGGATTTAAATCGAAGCTAGTCATGCCAGGTTGGTGCTGAATTTCTATATGATTAACCTACTTGTTCTGTTAACCTATTTAACTTAATCTATGATTGTGTGTCGCGAATACACAAACCTCATTGATATGGCTAGAACAGTGAAAACCAACCCTAATCCGAACAGTAATCAAACTAGAGTCATTAGAGATGATACTCAATACTTAGCCACTACTGCCTTTTTGTTGCGATAACCATTATTTCATACATCATAAGTGATTGATCCCTAGCCCAGTACCTTAAATCCCTGACAGAACAACATAAAATTTATAGTCATCCACAAATACACTGAGAAAAAGAGAAACATCAACATCATTTTTTTTTTGAAAATTTCACATACTTTTTGCACTCAAGTATGAGAGAACAATATTACAATGGATTGAAATTGAATGTACCTTTGAGAATTCTTACTTACTTCGACATGATAATAATGAGATTTTATTTATAGGGAAGGATACAAGAGAGCAGAAGAATAAGAAGGAATGATACAACGTGGTAGTACTTAGACCTTTTTCCACGTTTATTCGGTGCTGAAATTATGGCAGTTTGTGAAAAATTTATGAAAGAAACGTTTTACGATTTTTTATCCCTTTATTCTGTAGAATTTGCATTTATTGTTTGATTTTCAAAACCATTATCTTCTTTTTATAACTCTCCCAGCTATGTGAAGCCATATGTAGAGATTATACATATTATGTACGAAATTTTCCAGCTCAAGCACGGAGGTGAGATTATGATGTGAATTTCTCCCTACATTGTCGTTTGTTGAATGCCAAAAAAAAAAACCCTCAGAAATTCTTAAAATATTCATATAAAAATTCCATATAATTTTCCTACCTTTCTTCTCGCTCACTTCATTATTTATTCGCAAGGCGTTCATAGTTAATTATTGTCAATTTGATTTTTTTTTCTGTTGAAAGTTTACACTCTAGAAAATTTCCTTGATAATTTTGTTAAATACTTTAAAATGTGACGGGTTTTATTTTTTCTGAGGGGGAAACAACATGATGGGAAAAAAGTTTGATGAGAAATTATTATTATTTTTAAAGCCAGTACTCCATGTAGCTTGATCTGATTTTTCTGCTTGACTATTAGGCTATAAACGTCTTTAATACACACACCAATACCCAAATTTATTATAAGATACAATTAAAAAAATTAACGGTTTTATAATATTTGAATTTAGTCATAGGGGGAAACAACTTGATGGGTAGTTTTAGTTCTTGAATCAAAAACTGAATTTTTCATTGAAAACTTAAAAGTTCCAATCAAACACTTTACCCATCATGCTGTTCCCCCCTCAATTTCGTCGCAATATGTTCTCGTTTTCTGAAAATTCTATATCCATAAAAAAAATTCTCCTTCTGTTCTTCAACACGTGCTTTTACTGTGCGTAATCATAATATTCGTATTCGGTGGAAATTTTTTTTCTTTCTTCTTTTATTTTAAACTTGCCTGCCTGCCAAGCATTGCGTGCAAACATTTTTATGAAAAATTCCTGCTCTCATTCATTCTCATTTTAACAACTTTGTGTAAAGTCTGAAACTTATACTACAATTCTTAATACTTCTGTTATTTTTAGGATATACTTTTGTGCGAAACATATTCTGATGTGTTTATTTTGTCTGCTTGGGTGCTTAATAAATTCATGAGATGGAAATGAGGATGATTTATGGCACGGTTTTATTTCTTTCAGCAATGGATTACTGATGTGATATTTTATGGATTTCTGGAATTTGCAAATCAGTTCTGGATATTTTCTGTGCGTATGTTTTTCGGTGGAAGAGCATTAAAAGTGAATTTTGGTGGCAAGATTGTTGTTGAAGCTGTAAAAATATTTTGAAGGATTCAAAATAACAATTAAATTTCTAATTTTGATATTTTAGGTATTTCTAGGTATTTGTTATGTTTGTATGGATGCTGTTAAATTGATTTTACTTTGTTGCAGTCTCAAGTATCAATTACGGTTCTTTGAAATAATTTTCAAAGATTTTAACATTTAAATAAAATGTAAACAATGAAAGGGAACAAAGCTACGTTTATCGCACTTTACAAACAAACTTTTATGAAGCATTTTTTTTCTTTGACTTAATTTAAACTTTACAAAATCGTTAAATTTTTGTACACAACTCTTAGTGAATTCTTGTAAAATCTTGTGTAGAAAAGACTTTAATAGGCTAGCAGTCAATTATTAATATCACATTTGTCAGCTTGCAGCTCTTCGCAGGAATCAAACAAATTTGTAAAACCCTTTACTTTCAATAACAAGATCTAAACTGCTATAATACCCTTTCCTAACATCTTAAAGTAGAGTTTGTCAAACAATGTTCAACGACTCACTACTGTGTCATTAAAAACCTTCGATCAGGTCGTAATGATCAATCTTTGAGCCTTAACAGTTGAAAATAAAAATTCTAACCTCACATTTTTAAAAGTGAAAAATAGCATTTGGATTGTTATTTCCATAATGCATAGACCATTACTACCAAGTTTTCAACTCTTAAGATCAATCCTTGAGGCTTAATAGCCAGAATAAAAAGTCTAACCTCAAATTTTTAAACTGAGAACCACTGTCTTAAAATGGTTAAGATGAGTTTAAAGGTAATATATACTTCAAAAGTCATAAATAATACTGAAAAGTTATCAGATGCCTCTTTAAAAAAACACATCATTTCAACACAACCCCAATATAATAATTCAACAATATCCAAACCACAAAAGGAAAACCAACAATGGCCTTCAAAACAAATATCAGGTGTCAAATGAACAAACAATACTTGGGGTGGGAGATGTCTATAAAAACAACATTCAAAATTCAATTTGAGGCTAAACTTATCTAGGTTAGAATTTGTATTTAACACCCTCAAATTTAATCACGCGAGATTCCTTTAATATATAAAAAAATAACCAAATCCCCCCAATACTTATGAAGAATGCTCTTAAACCATCTTAATGAGGCAAATTTTCTACTAGTTTCACGGAGGCTTTAGCAGTTTGCGTGTTATAAGAAATTTCCTTTTTTTTTTGCTACGGTGTGTGTAAAAGTAGACATAATTTCACTAACAGCTCAAAATTTTCATTTTCGCTTTATTAAATGAAGCCTGTTTTCACAACACTGTTCTTTCTGTTCTTATTACTTCAAAAAAAAAATCTTTCTTCATACCTGAATAAAAAGTTATTATTAAAAGTTTTTCTTATACAATTACATTATTGTGCTAAATGAAATTTTTATGGACACGTAAATAATTGAATTCTATTAAATGTTTACTTAAGTAAAATTGTACATGATTTATGGCTGATATAGTTTTTACGCCCCGAAAAAACAAAAATGAGGAAGCAAATAAATTTTCATTTTTATGAATTATGACATTTTAAAATTGAAAGCGTGCACACACGCTCCTCTTGAACTTCACGTGTGGTTATGTGAAGAAGAAGACTAAAAGCCAGAGGTCGAAGCCGACATGAGTTCGCTCCGGTTCGCTAAAAAACCGATTCAAATTTGAATAGATTTTTTTCTGCTGCCACTTGTGAAGTACAACATTTTATACAAATTTACCGGTTATCGAATCGGTTTTTTAGCGAACCGGAGCGAACTCATGTCGGCTTCGACCTCTGCTAAAAGCATACAAGTTGATATCTTGATATGACGGAATTAGAATACAATTTTAGTTCTCTAGTTTAATTAACCAAGTTTTAGTGCTCCCATGAAATTCGTAAGTACTTTTAATTAACCAGAAAAGCACAGTAAAAATAGGGGCCATTCACTTATTACGTAACGCTTTTAGGGGGAGGGGGGGTCTAAGATTTTGTTACGATTCAAACAAGGAAATTTTTTTTTCATACAAATTTTGTTACGAGGGGGGGGGGGGGGGGTCTAAGAAGTCATTTTTTCGCGTTACGTAATAAGTGAACAGCCCCATAGAATGTTGGCGAAAATTTTCTAAATCTCATTAATATTAATTAAAAAATTGTAAAATTCACTATAACTGATTCGATATGTAGTTGGAGGAAACTTTTTACGGTTTAAAGATGTTCTCTTTCCAAACTTGATGAATTTTTAACGCCTTTTTCTTGCATTGTCATTCCTTAAAGTTTTGTTGGTGTGGGAATGTGTATTAATGATGTTGAGCAAAATCTAGTCTATTACTTCTGTGTGATGTTGTAGTAGAGTGGGATCTGGGGTATCCAGACAGTTATAGGTGAAGCTGGCAGTAATAAGAAGCGATAGAGGTCTTTGAGTATAGTCAAACCACATACTATTACTTTTTGTTGTAAAGTGGGTTCGATTTCTACAAGAGTCCAACCTCTCAACCAATGCATTACTTTCCTTTTTCAAGAACTCGTTCAATTATTCGTTTACGAACCTTTAAGATAACGCGATAGATTGAAGAAAGACCTAACTCTGACATCACTAGCTCATTGACTCCAAACATCAGACGTCATTCTTTAATAACCCCTATGAGAAAATACTTATCAAAGAGGCATGTTAAGTGGATATTCTGAATTTCCACAGAACCTTTTAAACTTAACATTCTTGACGCATTTACTTAGATTCGAATTCAAATCCAATATTCTGAATAATTTGAATGAACTTATGAGGTTTTCCATTTAAAAGGCACTCGAGGATGACTTTCGACAAATCAAATAAATGCTAGCTTGAAATCAATCATTAAAGCTAACAAAAGATTGAAAATTCTGTAGGAAAATACACAAAATTATTCATACAAAAGATTCATCTATGAAGTAAATCAAACAATTAATATCACAAAGCCAAATTTCCATGAATATTTACATAAATAAACTAAAATTCAAGTTTATTTTCATTGGAATTTATGATTAATTACAAATGGAACAGCGCACGAGAATTAGCTATTGCTATAAGCCATATGTTGCGAATGGATGAAAGCTTCTTTTGATTTAGTTTCAAAAAAAAAATGTTACTGTTGTGCGTGTCAATAGACGATTTGTAACACATACGCAAATTTTCCCACGCTTCATGTTGCCTTTCAATGGAAATTAAGGCTTATCAAGTAAATTGCCTTCAATAACTACGTTTTCTTCTTCCTTTCACTTCCTAGAAGGCATAATTCTTTTCACGAACATAAAAGGATCAAGAAGAATGAAGGAAAGAGCATCGAAAAAGGATTTAAAAATGAAAAAGCAATCGAATCTGACGATGATTATTTTACATGTCAAAAATATCGAAATCTTAATATAAATACAGGAAATGAACAAGAAAAGGAAGCGTTTTGCTATTTAAATATCATAAAAATTTGTGGTTGCACAAAAAAAGACATTCTCATTTCGATTCCCAAAAAATTCTATCACGAATTGCTAGAAAAAGTAATTTTTACCACGATTTGAATCAAACATGTAGTAAATTTATCTACACGTATAGACACAATAAAATAATTTAAGTTTTTTCCTGTTCAACATATTTTTTGAGTATACAGATTTCCTTAGAACTTATTCGTTTTGTCTATGTTTGCTAAGGTTTTTCTAAAGATTTCAGTTCTTGGAAATCAATTTTGAAGCTGTTTGTTTAGCTTCTTATCTGTTATTTGTCTAATAATTAAGTTAAAGTTTTGTTTCGATGTTTACGCTTTGAAGAAAAGTTTCAGGCTAAAACTTTGTAAACACTTCAGCGGGGCATGTTATTCTTTCCCGTCGTTTAAAAGACACTCTTATTTCGATTCCCTAAAAATTCTATCACGAATTGCTAGAAAAAGTAATTTTTACTATGATTTGAATCAAATATGTAGTAAATTTATCTACACGTATAGACACAATAAAATAATTTAAGTTTTTTCCTGTTCAACATATTTTTTTGAGTATACAGATTTCCTTAGAACTTATTCGTTTTGTCTATGTTTGCTAAGGTTTTTCTAAAGATTTCAGTTCTTGGAAATCAATTTTGAAGCTGTTTGTTTAGCTTCTTATCTGTTATTTGTCTAATAATTAAGTTAAAGTTATGTTTCGATGTTTACGCTTTGAAGAAAAGTTTCAGGCTAAAACTTTGTAAACACTTCAGCAGGGCCTTTTATTCTATCCCGTCGTTTAAAAGACACTCTTATTTCGATTCCCTAAAAATTCTATCACGAAATGCTAGAAAAAAGTAATTTTTACCATGATTGGAATTAAACATGTAGTAAATTTATCTACACGTATAGACACAATAAAATAATTTAAGTTTTTTCCTGTTCAACATATTTTTTTGAGTATACAAATTTCCTTAGAACTTATTCGTTTTGTCTATGCTTGCTAAGGTTTTTCTAAAGATTTCGGTTCTTGGAAATCAATTTTGAAGCTGTTTGTCTAATAATTAAGTTAAAGTTATGTTTCGATGTTAACGCTTTGAAAAAAAGTTTCAGACTAAAACTTTGTAAATATTTCAGCGGGGCATGCTACTTTGATCAATAGAATTCAAAAAATATTCATCCGTTAAAAACATTTCAATCCTAAAACTTTCAAATAAATTAAAAATTCCCAACAATCCCTCATCTCTATTTATCTTCAGGAGAACAAACAAAACGAGAAATTGTCAACATGCTGTAGGTGATGACTTTTTAACTTGCAAATTCCCTTCCTATTTAAATAGCGGTGGAGAGGAAAAATGACACGATAGAAAATGAGGGAAAAGCAAGATAAGAGAAGGAGAAATAAACTAATTTTTTGCGCTGAAAGTTGCGGAATAGGATATGAAAATAGCAGAATGAGGAGAGAAAATTTCATTATCAACAAATTACCCTTGAAATGAAGCAAAAAAGGACACAAACAGAAAGCAAAAAAAAAAACTAGTATGGAAGTCACCGTTACAGATGTGAAAAGACGAATAAAGTGCATTTTTCTAGCGTATCATGATTGACTCAGACTAAAATTAAAGATTTAGTGGAACTAGACAATTTAAGCAATATTCAGTAATGTTAAAGTAATCTCTGGAACCTAAAACAAGGCTCTAATATATAAAAATATTTAAGTGCTTACATCTAGTGATTCAGCCAGCCAGCCAAACATCCAGTCAAATAAGGACCTCTAAGAGCATTGTTCTCCAGGAAAAATCACTAAAAAGAAGAAGAAGGAAGACATGAAGATAAGAAATATGTTTGCTAGGATTGCGTTCAATAAAGATTGAGTTATAGTGATGTAGCGTGAAGTGAAAATTTGCCTTCTATTCCTATTCAATAGATCCAGAGCTACATTGTACGAAATTCGTATGTGAGTGTATGAATAGGCTACATAATTTTGTTTTTCCATAGCCATGACAATTTCCATTTTTTATTCTCTTCCATCTTCATCTAAACTTGGCCCCTCGATCGCTCTATTCACAACAAATCAACATTTTGAATGATTGGTTCTGATTAGTGATTAGTTTCCGATAAATTTATAGGGTATATACGTCCATTCATATTCGTCTCAATTCAAAATTGATGTTTCTGTATAGGATAAAGAATGTTTGAATACAATTATGGACTACCATGCGACAATTTACAGAGTAAATATGCGTATATAAAAAAAAGGTCAAGAGTCATTTTATGAGTTCAACTTTTCCATTTAATAGGATTTATTTTTATGTTTATGGAAGTAGTTTTGAGTTTATGAAATCAATAAAGGACTTTTGACAAAGTCATATTGAGTATAATGGAAATATGGAACATTCCAAGTTTTTTTTTCAAGTGGATGTGAACACAATAGCAACTGCTTGATGCTTGATAGAATAGAATATTTGATTTTATGCTGTATTATGAATTTTATGAAGATTTTATTTTATGCTCGTGATGGGTTTTAAAAAAAATCCACTCTTGTCAATGAATTGATGACAGCCATTGCATTAGTACTTACTTTTTATTAGTCGATTGGATGAATTTTCTCTGAGAGCTTTTGATGAGGTTTTTTCCTTGAAATTATTCTGAAATGAAACACTGAATTTAGGAAAATTCTCACGCCTACTGTGATTTATTTTGAATTTGAAAAATAAACAAGACAACAGAAAATCAGTTGAATGAAAAATTCTTTGATGGAAAAAACATTTTCATCCCACTCTTTTGTTCTTTATGCTTTTTTTTTTGTTGTTAACTCTTGGTGGGATCTGTGTGACCTTTCGGATATTGAAGCTTGAATGAATTTTATACAATTAACCAGAAATAACTGGAAATAATTCAATTTAATCTTTGATATTTAATTAGAAATGAATGGTGGGGTTTGATGCTGGTTTGAAGAAATGAAAATTTAATGCGTTGCAGGAGCGTAGCCAGAGTGGGGGGGGATTTGGGGGACAAATCTCCCATTGTAGACAGAAATTTCTTTATTTTGCTAGGGTTTTTATGAAAAAATCACAACCCCCCCCCCCCTTAAATTTTCCATTCAAAAAAAATGTTTGTCCCCTTTCTTCAAATTCCTGGCTACGCCCCTTATGCGTTGACAAAAATACACAATTTTAACAGATTTAGGGATATAAAAAGATGATTTTCAAGAGATGACATCAAATCGCAATTTTAATTCGAAATTTGCTTTGATCTGGCACTTACTTTGCTGATTGGACAGTCTAATTGTGATTCATGGATCGCATAGATCGTCTAAAGATGGCTCTATCCAGTGATCATTATGTCAGTTCCTGGTTCCTGGTGCTTGTTGCTACACCTACATCATCATCAGTAGTTTAAATCATTTTAACAAAACACATTTGGCTATGAAATTGGAAAGAACTCAGCATTTAAACACAGACCTGCAGCGTGTATTGACATGTGATAAACACCAGTTTGATGACATTTCTATTGGCTCTTTATATTTTTCCTTATACATAAATTCGATTTTAAAGAACCCCCCCCCCCCCCCCCCACCCACTCCTTAAAAAAGCGTACATGTGGTGAACCCCCTCACAAAGTATTGAATCTTTTAGTCCTTTCCAGGCGCGTAGCTAAGAGGTTCTTGTCCCCCTCTTAAGCGTTTTAGGCCCTGCTTTTGTTGCGGTTCAAAACGTTTAAGAGGGGACAAGACCCTCCTGGCAACGCGCCTGGTCCTTTCAATGAAATTTTTGTGTATCGATCAGGAGGGTTTGTCAACAAGAAATGCTCGAATTCATAAAATCTTGAACTGATAATACATATCAAATCAGAGAGCAGTTTTAGAGATATTGTGGTCTCCTCAATGTGACTGAAAAAAATAATAGATGATCTGAAAGTAAATCAGATCACATAGAATCCAAAAACAAAGAAAGAATAAATTTTATCCTCAAATCAACATTCCTTAAAAACCATCCCAAATTCGAAGAATAAAGTAAGAAGCAGCATGCTGGAATGACAAAATAAGAAACCTAAACTAAGCATAATAATTTAATCCTCCCAATAAGAATTAAGAATCCCTTAAATTTAAATTTAAAATGTTTTTAAAAGAATTTCAAAAAAAAAGGGTCCTAAAGATTCACAAAACCAAACATCAATGGTAGACATAAATCATACAGACGGAAAGGTAATAAATTGAAAAGTGTGGAAGTTAATATATACACAGCAAAGAAGAAATCACATAATTTATTAGAAGAACTTCCTTCTTTTCCCCATCATGCTGGTATCCTTATTTTTTTGTGCTTTTTTTTTATACTGTAAAATAAAATATATGTATTTATTTGTGATGTGGAGAGCAGCATCTAACGATACATCACCTTTCTCAAATTGAGTATAATTCTTATAGAAATTTAATGCCAATAAAGTAGAAAGAAGGCCCAATGTTCGATGTTACACTACATCAATCTTTGTTTGATACGTCTCATTCATTGAATTTCATCTTAAAGATCTACGATTCCGTACCCAAGTCAAAGAATCCTTTCTGCTTATTATTCTAGCTGATTCTTCTTCCTGATCCTTTCTTTCCTGAATAAGTCACACATTTATTCATTCATTCTTGATTCCACTTGGGGTACATTTTTCTTACTTCTTTTTATTTATTTTTTATTTTTCGTCTTTTTATGCTTTTTTGGAGGAGCTGAAAAAAAAGATTGATTTTTATGTGGCAGGTTGAGAATGGGTGGTTGTGTGAGGAGCATCTGAAAAATTGGAATTTTTTTATATTATTCGTGATTTCTTTGAGCTCAAGCTTTGTGGTTTTATTATCAACAGGATTGGTCGACTTTTGTGGAACTGGATGAAGATGAGATGTTTGTGTCTGGTTGTGTTTGTAAAGTACAATCTGTAATCTCACATTTGGTAAGTTGAAATGGTTCAGTGGCGTAATGGTTTCATGGTTCGCTATATAATGACTTTCTATCGACAATTAGGTCATGGGTTCGAGACTCGCCAGGAAAAAATTGTAAACTTAGGGGTCGTTCACTTATGACGTCCGAAATTAACGGTCATTTTTCAAAAAAGAATAATGGATTTCCTGGAATTTCTATTGTTCTTTTCTGACCCCCCCCCCCCCCCTGGACGTCATAAGTAAACGGCCCCTTATCAATTTTTTTAAAGAATATTTATGTGTGATTGGTTCTAATGCTGCTTAAGAATGAAGAATGATTAATTTACGATTCTAGGCTAGATTCTCGGTGGGAGATCATGAAACCGGTCTCAGGAACGAAGTCTTAAGAAATTTGTGGTCAAAAACCAAAACTTTCTTACAATTCCATGTTTATTCTCAACGACGTATGAAGCAGGTAGGATATCTGAGTCAAAAAGGAAGGCATACAAACCTGAGTGCAATAAATCGTTAAACTAAAACTTATTTCAATTTTCAATGGTCACCAAAACTATAAATCCAGAAGTTCCTTAAACGAACAACCTCAACTAGTAAAAATTGACATCCTAATTTCAATTTTCCTCAACAAAAGCATCAAAATCTAATAAAAATCCATGATGCCCTAATAATGTTCTACTTAAAGTTCATGTCAATATGTGTGTAAAGGTTGGCAACCGCCCACAAAATACGATAATCTCTAAAGCATCTCGTCTATGAAAAAGAAACCATAATGTACACTGGCAAGAGAAGTTTGTCCACAACTGATTATTAAAGAGAAAAACACATTTTCATTTATTTTTATATCAAATATCTTCAAATTTATTGTTTGGTCATTCACTCGTAAATTAATACAACAACTTTCTCTCTCATCGTCTATCTCGTTCGTTTAAAATTAATAAAAGAAAATAATAATAAAAATGATAAAAAAGTTTCTTATTAGACATAAAAAATGCGAATATTTTTTTTGAGTACAGACGAAAATATACAGCAGGTCCATACTAAGAATATCTTCTTTTATTTTACGTTATACGAGGAAATTTTCTTTTAATTCAATAAATATAAGGGGAAAGGAATTGATTTCTTTTTCTTCAGTAACAGCATATAAGGAAGGAAGGAGAGGATGAATAAAAAAAATAATTCAAAAGAATAATCCCTCAGTATAATCAATCAAGATATTAGACTAACCTCATGCGGTGGTTACATGAAAAGTATCATGTATTCATCCACATTATATTGCTTATGTAACCATCACTGAGGTACTTAATCTTCATGAATGAGCTTTTCAATAAAATCCATCAACAGAAATTTTCTAAATGAATGAGATCCTAAGGCTCTTTTTGGCTCCTTACTTCATTGAAATGATTTTTTTTTTATTCCCTTTATCCCTCATTCAACGAGAACTACCCACATGTAATCGGTTGACAATCAGTTTTTTGTTGCTTCCTTCTCTTTTGACAGATTTCTTTCTTATTTTGGGCTCATGCTGTGGACATTTGAGGGGTGAATTTTGACTGCTTTTGGGTCAGATTCAAAGTTTTTTCAAGCATCAAATTAAAATTCATATTTAACAGTCGAAAAATATTTGAATTTTGAGCTATCAAATAATATTGGAATTTTAAACTGTCAAATAAGATTTGAATTTTTAACAAAATATTCAAAAATTCAAGAAAACTTTAAGGACGAACATGTTTAAAGCCAATATGACCACAGCCAGCTTCCATCCCATAAATAAATAAAGTCTATGAAAAGCTCACACACAAAAAATACGACGAAGGAAAGCCTCAGTTCAAGTACAAAGTCTTTTTATGTATTATAAATATTATCGTATTCCTAAAATATGAATTTACTTATTATCGAAAAGGGACATAAAAATATTATGGTTTAAAGGAACGAAAGGAAAGTTCGTAATTTCTATCATCTTTATGATGTCTTTCTCTTTTCCTTTCTTCCGCATCGTTATTTAAATTCAGCCTGAGAATTTCATTCTGTGCCCAAATTCAAAACTTTTTTTTTGGGGAGCCTCTCGTCTCATATCCAGCTATTGCTTGTGTGTTAAAAATTAATCCAAAATGCCCTTTTGCCTTTATTAGATATTTATGAGAGCAAGATGAATTTCTTTCTTTTATTATGAGTTTAGTCTTGTAATTTATTTATTAAAGTCATCATCAACATTATTATGGGGTCGTTCGCAAGTTTTGTAACGCTAAAATGGTAATTTTCGACACCCTTTCCCCACTTTCCGAAAGGGGCCGTTCACTTATGACGTCCGAAATTAACGGTCATTTTTCAAAAAAGAACATTAGATTTCCAGGAATGTCTATTGTTCTTTTCTTGCTGACCCCCCCCCCCCCCGGACGTCATAAGTGAACGGCCCCAAATGGAATTAGAAGATTAAGATCAAATCGAAACTTGAACACACTTTAGAGTTACAAAACATACGATCTGCCCCTTTTTGTGAGTAAACAAGACGAGACAGGCTGAAGTTAAAGTAAATAAGCACCCAATTCTCTTTAAAATTCTGTTAATTTTGATTACTTTTTTTTTCAGCGCATTTCTCAGATTTTGTAATTTGCATTTCATTGCGGTTTGTCAAGTCGTCAAACCACAAAAGCCATTTACTGTTAATTTATAATTATGTCACATTTTCAGCATTCACACAAAAATGTTGGAAGTAATTTTTCATTCATCATCGAGACTTAATATCAAATTTCGTTCAATCAATTCCTATCAAACCATCTTAAGACTCTATCTTATCGATTTTTCCTGTTTCGTTCTCGAGTGCTTAATCTTTATTTCATGCAAAAAATAGATCAGCAAAATTGAGAAAAATATTTGGAAGTGCGTGTGTAGGGGTTAGTAATGGAATAAGCTTTATGCTTTGAGGATGGTTATTGTAATGTTTTTAATGACGTACCCAACATGGCTGGCATTCGTAAAGGTACTCAATTTTAAGACACGCCATCATTATATCCCATTCGCAGTTAAAACAATTACAAAATCAAGCATCCCAAGAAATGCGCTCTAAAATCCCTTAATTCTAAATTTAACTTTTTAAACTCATCAGTTTTATTTTTAAAGTTTCATTCTTTTAAATTTATCATTATTGCTGTTATGCTTAGTGGTATGCAATAAAGTGCTTGTCCCAAAAAGGTAGCAGAAATATTTTTGTTCCAACTTTTTTTTTATATATTTTATTTCCCAAAAGAGTTTTTAACTTTCCTTTAGGCTGAATCTGTTCTTTTTTTTATTCTATTTCTTTAGTTGGAGATAAAAATCCAATTTTTCATGCGATTCCCAAATGTCCCACAAATATCTATGAATCAAATGACATTGAAGCTTTAACTACTGTTTCCAAGTTCCGTGTCTCACTTGACGTTTGACTATTTGATGCTATTTTAAGTCTTGGATTAAAATTACGAATGCCTGAATTCGATTTCACAGGCATTAATGTGACAAGTGATGGAGTTGTGGACATAAATCGTCTCGTTATTGGTGATGATGCCAACGATAAAATTTCTTCGTATTGTGTCGGATCTACAGCTTCAACTTCAGCTTGTCCCATCACTGTCTCCGATGACAATTCATAACCTCTTGTGGGGTCACTTGAAACTTTTGTAACTGCTCGTGCTGTTGACGTCATTGTTGTCGATGACATAGGTGCTGGAGACTTCTTTGCGGTTTTTGTGGTTGTTCGTGTAACATACTGTTTAGTTGTGCTACCCAAATTCCTTCTCGGCACCGTAATCGTTGTCGTTCTCAACTGATTATTGTTATTAGCATTTTGCTTGATTTTATTCTGTGTATATTGTGAGAATGGTGGCACTTTACTCGAAACATCTGGCTTTATACCCAATTTAGCTGCTAGCGTATCAAAAATCGATGACAATTGCTGCAAATTTCCTTTATCTACAGTCTGATTGGCTTTCAAATCATCTAAATGTGTAACATGTGATGCTGTTTGAGAATTTTCCACAACTACCGCCTGTAGAGTTTCATTAAAGACTTTCTTTGTGAGACTCACTTCACTGCTATTATTTGTACGAGTGCCATTGACAAACTCCCATTTCGAAATGGATGGAAAGAGCTGCGGTTCTGAGATGATACTAGCACTATTACTACTCGTACTGGTTTTAACAAATGGCGATGGGGTGTATTTGACAGTATCCACCTCGACAAATGTGGTTGTGGGTTTAAGCGTTGTAAAGGCACCGATATCGTTGAATGCTTTTGTTGCTGTAGCAATTTCAAATGTCAACGTAGACAATGGTGACTTGTAAGTAGTACTTTCATCAGAAATATCCTCTAATGAATGCGATGAATTTTCAGATGACGATTTGTTGTGCTTCATTTGCATTATGAAATTTTTCATATTCATAAAGTTTAATTTTGGAGTCGTTGTCAAAATTTTCTCATCTTCAGCAGCAGCAGACACTTCATCATAAGCATTCTCGTCGTCGTCATCATCATTCTCTGTTTCTTCATCATCTGACACAATTCTTGATTCTAGCACGTCGTCTTGTGTTTTGTTTAATGTCACGCTATTATTATCTAGCAGCTCTTGGAAAATGTCATCGAGACTTGTGTCCGTATCTGTGACATTTTTCGTCATTTGTACACCAGATTGTGCTGCATCATTTGTAGCATTCATATTTGATTGCATGATGTCATCTTCGAGAACATTACTGCTAATTGTTGTTGGAGCGCTCGTGCTACTGCTGCTGCTATTGTCTTGCTTCTTTGCAATTACACCGCCACCCAAATGCTCGAATTTATTCTCATCGTAATTGACATTTGACGTATCAATCATTAATTTTTTATTATCATTCAGCATTTCCATTTGAGACGATTGTTCTGGATTAGTAACTTCCTCGCTTATATCAATTTTATTTACAGGCAATGGATATGGTTTTACATCGGCAATGCCAAGCTTTTCTATCTCTAAACTACCCGCTGAGAAATCGGGATTATAAAAGCTTTGATATGAAATCGATTCACCACTGTCTTTGACTGGATATGTAGCATCAGGATCAGCAAACTTGTTACGATATATGACATTCTCATTTGGTTTTGGATTGAATGGACTTCGATATGGTGGCATTTCAGTGCTTAACGACGATAACGACGATGATGTGGACTCTGATGTGTGAGCAGCAGTAGGTAGATGTTGTGTTTTTACTTGTTCCGGTGATGGATTGATTGGACGCCACGGTTCATTATCCAAAATTGGTGCGCTTGTAAAAAGGCTAACATCCAATTTCGGCAAATCTTTATTATTGATTTGGCTTTCGATGTCACTACTTCCAACATACTCATGCGGTGCATTTGTAGTCATTTGCAATGTTGTTGATGTTGCCATAATACTTTCTGTCACAATTTCTCCTGCTGTCGCTTTTATTGTCTCACCGCTCTTGTTTGTTTTTTCAATTTTTGCCGTCACTGGCGATTCCTTTACTTTTTGTTGCTTTTGCAAATTTTTCTGATGCTGCAAAAACATATCCACAATATTGTCAGCTTTTGATGCTGTCGTACTCGCCATAGTTGTTGTCGTTATTATTATTTTTTTTACTGTTGTTTGTGCCGTTGTTGAACTTGAAGTCGAATGTCCACTAGACTTTACTTTGATTGACGATGCGGGACTAATATAGAATGGCTTTAGTGTATTTGGCGTTAACGATGCAGTCGATGCAGGACGCGCGTTTGCACGTTTTTGTGCTATATCCGCATCCGTTTTTGTAATTTCAAATGAACCTTGTATAACTGGCAAATTTTCTGTATCAATGTCACTCTCCTGTAGCGGCTTGGGGGTAATTTTAGGCTTACTTCCACCCCTCGTCGTGTGAGGTGTTTGCGTTGATGGTTTAAGTTTTGACTTTTCAGCCGTCGTTCCATTAACTTTTCTAGTTGACATTTGTAAATCATCCAGTGGAATTACCGTTGTGGGCATTAATGTTGTCAATATATCTTGTGACTGCTGTGAATTTCGATTGGTACAGCGGGAAAACACGAATGAAAAGAAAGTGGAAAAAAAAATTTGTCGTGAGCTTAAAATTGAATTATTGAAGCTTGTATAAAAAGAATTTTAATTTTACCTGTTCATATATAAATGCAGCTTTCTGCAAAATTTCAGGATCAAGTTGTCGCTTAATTTCAATTGTGTCAATATCGATTTTCATATTACGATATGTTGAATCAGAAATTCCTGTTTCGCTTACGAATGCATTTTTAATATGCTCCTCGACATTCGTTATTGTCCTGAAAAGGAAGAGAGAGAGAAATATACAAAATTTGCTTGCTGATGCCTGTATGCATGCTCTGCGATTAATTGTATGCCTAAAAATTTGTCATAAATCAATCTTTTTGCATTTTTTTTATGAAAATTAATTTTTCTGATTTTTTTAAGGTTAGGAAAATTTATTAGACCAGAACAGTCGTCTGAATGGATTGGTGACAGGTGCTCTAGATTGCTCTGTTGAGCCATACTAAAGTTTAAAATTGAATTTAATAAGCCTTTTTTTCGAACAAATTAAATGAATATTAAAATTTATAATTTTAATTGTTTTTCTCAATTTTTCGGCTCTAGATCTGTTGTATGCTTAGCATTAAGTCATTTAGCATGCAAAGATCAATATTGAGAAGAGCAATGATCTTATTTCAGTAAGGAATTTCAATTTAGATTGTTTAACCCAAAGAAAAAATCTAATAGAAAATTTTTGTTTTGCAACCCCAAGGATTATTTTAGATTTCTAAAAGAAAACTTTTTGATTTTCTTAAAGAAAATTTTATAATCAAAAATTTTATTTTGAATTCATACTTTACAAAAATAAATATTTTTCTTTTAAACCTAAAACTCAACATTAATTTTTTAAATTTAAAAATAAAATTCTAGAATCTAAAGTAAAGATTTTTGAGTTTAAAATAATAATTTTTGATTTTTTAAATTAATCTCTCAATTTAAAGCAAATTAAGTTGATGAAATGACAGAACTCATAAAAACATAAAGCACGAATGCTTGTGAGGCAGAGGAAATTTCATTCATGAGAAAGATATTATTACAAATATCTTAAGTTTGTATGGAAATTTAAGTTGGACTTGATGCCATGATTTCTACGAAGTTTTGTTTTCCTTCAAATATTTCTACAAATTATTGTTTTCAAAAATCAAAAAGAAAAACTTTTAAATCTAAAATTTTTTCTTTAAGTTGCAAAATTTTTCGAAATCAAAAATTGTACTTTAAAATCAAAAGCTTTATTTTGGAATGAAAATCTAAAAATTTGCATTTTAGATTTTTAAAATGAGTATTGTTAATTTCAAAACTTTATTTTAAAATTCAGAAGAAAATTTTTAAAATTTAAAAATTTTACTTTAGATTTAAAAATTTTAATTAGAATTGACAAATTTTAAAATCTAAAGTGGAAGTTTTTGAATTTTTTTCCTGATTGTTGTAAACAAAGATTTCTTAAAACAAATTGTATTAAAAAAATTCAAATAAAATTATAACGGTTTTTATAGTCACTCGAGAGCACATGACTCGGAATTGAGTCATATAAAAAAACTCACAATTAATATTCACAAAATAAAATTATTTATATATTTTTCTGTAACTCACATTTGTATTTTCCTCATGTCCAAATAAATGCGAAAGCTCAATTGGATGTCTGGCCCATTTCCAAAACTATTTATATCGGTTTTAGCAACATTAAAATTTCCATGTTCCAATGACATTTCGATAAATTTGGTGTAAAAAGCAGCTTTCTGTCGAAATATTGGTGTTTGGTTATATTTCAACTGTGATACCCATATATCGCCCTTTGCGATTCGAAATCCACAATCGAAAACGAGCATCGCTGTATGTATAGGAAGAGAAATGAAAGGAAGACTCTTTATATATAAATTACAGTCTATAGCCTGATACATATGCAATGGCATGAGAACAATAAAAAATAAATGAAATGAATAATTATTTCAATTTCTTCTGCCTCTTATTTTTTTTCTGGAGCAATAGAGTCGAGTCTTTAGAGCATATGTGCTGGCAAAAGGTGAAAAAAGGAAGAAAAATTCATTTTTCAATGTGCTGTCGACAGTTTTCATATGTCCACTGTCTTACTTACACTCAGTTGAATCCGATTTGAATGTACTGAAATAGAATGCTAAGCCTGCGACTGATAATACTGCCAATAGGACAATGAAAGCAGCTGACATGATGAGAATCGAAAACGATCGAATATTTATTCGTTTTTTAGAGTAAACTGATGGTGATAGATGACCAGTATCGCGCCATAAACCCCATGATGTGTATCCGTAATGGCTACTTAAACTAACATCCGATGGATATGAATATTTGTTGTATTTTGAGATATTGGGCTGATGTGAATAATGACTACCAAAAAGTGATCGTCGACTCATTGTGTTGTGATAGGATGCATATTCATTTGTCGTCTATGGGCACATACATGAAATGAGAAAAACAAAAAAAAAATTGTTTGTATATAAAAAGGACATAGATAAACAAAAGAGGATATAAGCATGAGTGTTGTGTACAAAATGCGCAATTTCCATCTAAAGTATGGATATTATTTCATAACGCAGTGTTTATGGCATTAGCTGATGTCAGCATAAAAAGAAATGTGTCAACTGAAAAAAAAGTTTACTTTAATACTTTGCCTACCATAACAACATGTACGAAACCATTCTTGTCTGGCTTTATTCACTCAACTCATTTTCCTATCGCTAGGTAGGAAAACTATTTGTTGGAATTGATGGAATAAGTGCATTTTATGGATGTGATGAAATTATCACATTTTGAATGCTATTGTAAGGTCTAATGAAGAGATAGAACTTCTCCAAGCATACTTCTTTATAATGCACAATGATTCAGATTCGGAAAAAATGTTCAAAAATTCAAAAATAACATATTAATTAAACTTCATATTTTAAATGCCAGATTAAAGATCTTAACTTAAGGTATATTCAGTGAAAATATCTCGTTTCAATTTGATGTCTAACTCCAGAAATCTTTAATTTATTTTCAACAAAAATTTGTTTACAATTTGTATATGAAAAAAAAACTTTGATTTTCTCTACTTTAAGTTGTTATTTCCATATCTTGCTAGCTGTTGTTTGCTAAGTTAAGCTTAGATTTGCATATTAAAACTACCAAATCAAAAGAAAACTGCTGATTAAGTCTTAAAAATGCAATTAAAATCTGAGCATTTTTACAAAACTTCAACTATTCATAAGTTAAAAAGTCTTCCAAAGACCTCTCTGAAACCTATATGAATCAATTATTTAAGCTTAAATCTATCTCCTATACTAATATGGTCATGCCGTTTATTGCCGTTTTCGAGATATTTGCGTTCAAAGTTTACATAAATTTTCATACAAAATTTGGACATGCACAATATTTTTTGATAAACTTTTACATACTTTTGCTAAAAAAATCATGTTATCCTTTATATTATGGACTGAGTTTTTGAGCAATTAATGAAAACATTATGTAGAAGATGCTAAAAGAATCAAATCAGAAGAAATCAACAAAAACAAAAACTTTCAATTTTCTAATGTGTCAGAAAAGTATTGTACACAAGGAAATTTCAAACACTTTTTTCAAATCTGAATTATTGTGTAATGTGACTTGGGGAGGGTAAAATTAAAGTCACAGAGACTTGCTTCAGAACTTTTTGGAAAAATTGAGAGGGGTTATTCCATTCTGACAATTTCAAATTTTTAAAATTCGTAAAATTTGAATTTAAAATCATTCATTTCATTTTGTTGCCGATTTGCAAGGATGTGTCCAGGCTTAGAGACTAATTTTGTATTGTGACTTAATTCAAATTATTTTTTCAAACTGTTAAATAATTTTTTTGGCTCGAAAAAAATGTAATTTCAACAATCGCAGAAAGCTTCGATCAAAGCTTTTGAATCCGGATCACATCAGATTTTGTATGAAATCACACTTTGTATTGAATCACTTAAACTTAACAAAATATGCACGAAATACTCTATTAGAAGTTTGTATTTAGACTGATAAGTTATTCAGATCAAATATGTGATTTACTATCTTAGTGATGTACTGAGGTTCCTGTCATTGTATAAATATGATGGTACTTATTTGGATATGGATAAAAGATTTGTCAGCATGACCTAAGTTTATTTCTAATTTCATCATCTTTACTCATTCACAGATACCGTCATGCTAAAGCCACTCAATTCAATAAAAGCATTCAATTAAGCATCAAATGAGAGTTTTGACTTAGTTGATATTGGAATCGTCTTAATGGAAGGCAAATCAGGCTTCGATAAAGCAGAAAATGCATCTTGGAGTTGAAGAAGAATTTTAATGAGAATCTTTTCATAAATCAGAGCCCGAAAACGATGAAATTTTGTTTGGAGTCGACTTCGCCATACAAAATTGGTGAAAATTACGAGTCAACTTCAAGTTCTGTTATAAATAATGGCTATGATGTCATTACAAGTTTTGCATACGACGATAAGGATACACACAAAATGAATGATGTCCAGGGGGGGGGGGGGGGGTCAGCAACAAAAGAACAATAGAAATTCCTAGAAATCCATTGTTCTTTTTTGAAAAATGACCGTTAATATCGGACGTCATAAGTGTACGACCCTTAAGGAAGAATATTTGGAAGAGACACTCGACCAGTTGTGAGACTCATACATTCATCTCGCTGGTAAGTACTGTCCAAAAACATTGAATGCGTGTGATAAATTTTGATTTTTTTATGACTGGATCAAATGAATCAGATTCCTTGATTAACTTAAGAACAAAATGAACTGTCAGGAATTTGCATTTTCTTCTAGAAAAGCTCAGTAAAAATAATATTTTGACCAACTTATCAAAATACAGCATACAGCAAAAAAAAGGCTGTGTAAAGAGCAAGAATAATACTTCAATGGATATGTACGATGAAGTTTTGCATGAACATTTATGGAATAGAGTAAAATTCCTCTATTTTATGGTTTTAAAACTACAAAAATGTGTATATGTATATTCGTCTCCGTATGGTTTATATTATATTAAAATATACGTATCAATATAGCTAACGAGCGAACGTACAACGGTGTTTACATTCCATAAGCCTTTTCGTATTCAACCCAAACTCTTCTTTTTTTTGTTTTGCTCTTTCGTATACTCATGTGGCAAGTCGTGGATATTTAATTTGTTGATTTAAATGATTTAAATAATTTATTTGTTTATAAGTTACCGACTTTTTTCATTTTACCGGTTATTTCTGTTGTGCATTTTATGCGTTATTTTCGGCATTGCGTTCTGAACTTATCAGAGGTGTAGTAAGAGGGTTTCGAGTCAAAATATAACAACAAACTTAGGGTTTTAGAGGAAAAACTTTCTGAATATTTTTGTATATTCACCTCCTCCCAAACCCTCGAATACTTTCCAGCTACGCACCTGGTCCTCATTATTTAATATCGTGATAACAATATGCAAATACAGAAATATATTGCTCCGTGTACCGCTGGGCTGCTTTTTTTTATGAGTGTACTTCCATCCCTTCTTCCATCCATTTTAATGACGACGACTCTTTTTTGCCATCATTTCTCATAAATTTTTAAAACTTCATTGCTCTAAAAAATAAACTACTTCTGTATGCATACCATTTCTGATGAAAATGAACTACATTTTATATTAAAATTACATCATTAATAATTAATGATATTTAAAGAAAAGTTTTCAGTTGCGAGTAATGTGTAATTAGATATATGTATGATGATGATGATGCTGATGATGTTTATGACTATTTTATGAAATTAACTTAAATATTTACAACAATGAAAGAAGAAAATTTTTATTGTTAAAAAATTTTTTACTATGGCAATTTTCCAGCTCTGAAACGCTTTTGTGATTTATTAAAATGTAATGAAGTAATTTAATCAAATTTTTTTTTTTTTTTTTTGGTTCATAATGAACATTTGACTATGATGGTGGAGGAACTTCTGAATTTCGCAAGCTAATTAAAATGGATGTGAATATTCTAAAGCAATTATATACAAAACTTTTGTAAGTTTCTTTCGAAAGTTCATTAGATAATTTTGTAAGCGTTGAATTTTGCAAAATAAATTTAATTGCAAAAGAGCTCGCGAAATATTTATGGATTTAGAAACAATTGCCAAAGGAATTTCGTAGTTTAAAGTTTGTAAGTAATTAGAATAAATTAAAGTTTTGGATGCAAAGTTTTATAATCGAGGATTAAATTTCAACGGTTTTTAAAAGTTTTCAATTTTTCTTTCATTAATTTTTGTTTTGCAGATAATTTCAAGTTGTTTGGAAAATCTAAAATTCAACAGAATTTCTTCTGAATTCATTAAATATTGACTGAACTACACGATTAAGACTGCAACATTCAAAGCGATCAAACAGCAGAAATCGCAAACCCATTAAAACTTATAAGTATCAACAAAAAGTGAGTATCCATTTCTATTTATATTAAAAATACTTTTCAATAAAAATGAGAAACTTACTCAAATGACAAAAGATCAAAAAAAAAGAATTTGTCAAAGGCCGAGTTAACTCGGCAGAAATTTACTAGTAATTTACTGGATAACTTTCCATTTGCTACTTGCTATTTACTAGCAAATATCCAAGTTCAAATCTTGGCCAAAGACCAGCATTTTCACTTGCTAATTGACTAGTCAATTCGCATACAATTTAACTAGTAATTTACTAGCAAATTTAGAAAAAAAATTAAATGAATATAACCGTTGATTTCTATGTGTTCTTTTGATTTTTCTTATTTGTGTAAATTATTGTAAAAGTATTAGTGTGCACTTAGTAAAGTTAATTAACACTATAAAAAAAAATAAAAGACTTAATTTAATTGAGTCGAACACTAATGAACGTCAATGACTCGCACGCAAACCTGAGGAAGATAATTAATAAATTGAAAGTCACATACAAATTTGGATCGAGCTTATAAAGGTGATTTCTGCGCGCTCTTGTGAAGTATATGGCAAATGCCAAATTTAGAACAAAATTTTTTATGACGCAAAAAATTCTTTTTTTGATGATTTTTCGTAGCATTCGAACTTAAGCAGATTTTATCAAACATTTCAAATGGTAATTTGCTTTCTTACTAATAGTAAGTTGTTTTAATAATAACTAGTAAATTTGCAAGTTGTAGAATAGAAAGACTAGCAATTTGCTAGTATGTCTCGCTAGGGGTTGGTTTAAGACGAAGCTTGACACAAGACTAAGGGACTTTGTATCTTTTTAATTCAGTTTCTTTTGTCTCCGAGTAAATACCGAATGACACAAAGGTTCCCGTTAGAAGTTGCACGGAGTCATTGCCTACTTAGTGACTCTCCAATAGCTTATTTATGACCAAGAGAAATAAAAACTTAAAAATTACTGCCAATTTCGAAATCAATATTGATACAAAACTGACAATTTTCAACTTCCACTTTTGCCATAAGTCAGGTGTTATCACAAAAACATCCGTTGATTCATTATAATGACACAAAATTGTAATTTTAAATGTAAATATTTTAAATATTCTGAATGCAATAAATAAATTAAGCACATAGATTTAATTTGTTAGTGTTAAAAATTAGCATAGAACTCATTCATTTGACAAATTAACAGTAAATTATTAATGCTTTCAATTTAAATCTCATTTAAGCTTGCAAATATTAGTCATTCATTAATAAAATATAGTTTCAATCAATTTTTAAAAATCCTTTTTATTGTTCCTCTATTTTGACAATTTAAAAAATAATTTTATCAAATTTTTTGTATGTGCTCAATTATATTGCTTCGGTTCCTCTCACACTCAATTTGAAACAAAAAAAAAATTGAAACAAATGAGAACTGAAGTCTTTTAGTAAAATAAATATAAAAAAATTGTTGATAATAACTAATGCCTTTATATTGAAGTAGAAAAAATAGAAATAATAATAATAAAAAAAAAAGTTATTGGCTATTTTCCAGCAGTTGCAATTGGAATGATAATATGATAGCAAACATTTTTAGTTTCAAATCGATTGTGCCAGTTGCAACTCTAAGCATTTCTCATACATTTATAGGAATGTGTGCAATATTGAATTTTCTAAATTGATAAAACATAACATGCCAATGATGCATGTTTGACATTCAAATTGACAATGCTTTTTGAGTTCATGTACAATTGTCATATAACTCTATGTACATTTTGTAGAATCTCTTTTTGTTGTTCTCCCCAGTTGTACATATTTTTTAATCTATCCATTCATTCATTATTCGTTATTATTTTTAAATTGAATCATTATTGATTACATTACGTTTTATGAATTTTGATTTTTTTTTTCTATCTGTATTTTTCAGTAGCTTTTTACTCAATCTATAAGCATTAATATGCGATATGGGTTAAGTGGCATGTGCACTTACTGGATAAAATAGTTATTTGTTATTGTCTATTTCCTTTTGGAGCTGACTCAAGCATTTTGAGTTGAGTTGCTCGATAGATTT